AGTTTTATCCGGTTTGGGTATGGTGACACTACAGGACGCTTATTCAACGAGCCGCACATCTCAAGGACAACTTTCGAAAATCAACTTGTCTTTCTTGGACTATGTTTTCAGTTCTTCCAGTATTGGAGATAATGTGTGAGTAGCTTGTAGCCTAATAATTTAGCAATNAGAATAGAAATTTAGAATGTGTGCTCAACCTAATAGAAACTCTCATGGGACACGAATCATCTATTCAAAAGAATGAACACCCGTGCTACTTTGCCCAAAATATTTTCTAAATCAGAGCTGTAACTTTCGAACTACTGCAAATATTATAGCGACACTCAGGGTCGCGCACATTCAAATGGTGATAGAAATGAACTAAGAACGTAGATGTTGGGGATAAAGTCAGGAATAAATACACTGTACTCATAACCATCTATATATAAGTATGCTATTGCAAGCTGAAATGGGTTTTCAAAATGAGGGTGATGTTGCACGAGTTTGGTCAACACCTGTAGTAGATTCGACCATTCTCTTTTACAGATCAATAACAAAATAGCCGAAATCCTGAAACCAATCTGTTTTCATAAAGCTACTATTGACCATTATTCTCTCACATCACACACCCGTAGGATATCAACCACGGTCGTATCGCTAACAGTGTCCCGATAGCTTGTGACCTGGAACTCCGCTTAGCATAGGTATTTCGAAGCATCGAAAACTTTCCTTTTAGTATTGTTGAGACAAAATAATGGACCTAATTCATTTCTATTCTACTCCACGCCAGATATTCATTTAATTCATCCACTTACAACTTTAAAAAACCAAAGTTCATGAAATTATTCACCATTGAGTAATCATGAGAACACAAATTAGCAAACAAGCTCGTTTTTGGTGCCACATCAATTGGCTAAATACAACACAATTTATAATAGATTCGAATCAACTAGATCTTCTCACTGCCTATTACATCTATAATAAATTGTGTTGTATTTAGCCAGTTGATGTAGTACCGAAAACGAGCTTGTTTGCTAATTTGCGCTCCCAAATTTGAATAACAGTCAATTGTGGGTTGGGCATATTGCTCATCGGGTTCAACTGAACAGAAAACCCTCCTTGTCCTCAGATTTAATGTTACTCTCCAGTCTCCAGGTAGTTGCTTCACTTTCATTTTCTCATCTTTTCTGCAGAACTCAGTTCAGCGGTTTCCATCCATGTTCTTTCTCTCTCTCTTTCATCTCGAAAGCAGACGGCTAGTCATTCTTCTCAGGTCTCCGTTTTTATCAGTAGGATTTCTATCTTAGATAAATCTTTTTTTCTTGGGTTTGAGAAACTTCTCGTTCTTTTTCTGTATTCCCTTAACTCCGTCCCTTCAAAATTAGGATCAGGAGAATGACCGTTACTTGTACAACCCAGCCATTCACATCCGTTTTACAGTACTAGTTGACCATGGGAATTCTGTTGTGACTTACCTTTTATAAAACTAAAATGTTAAAATCATCGAATATCTAATGAGCAGATGATTCACGATTTATGCTCCAACTTTAGGATAAGACCTTATTCATGACGGAAAAACGAATAGGGTAGAGCAAAATGAAACATCTGTTGTGTTCAGATCAAATACTCGCAGATGCAGGTCGATGAGGAAGAGAAGCAGTAGTGAAACCCGGAGCACATTACGACAAAGAGAGATAATTCAACCCGAGATACTTCTGCGACAGTGGAGAAAATTAAGACAAGAAAAATTGTTTCTTTATTGTACTAGTCGAAGGTGTCCCCCTCTGTGAAACACAAAATCCGTTTGTACACTGAACTGTGTGAAGGGTTAGGGAGGGGGCGAGTCGAGGCGGAACGAGAATGAAGATGTGGCAATCTCAAAGACACGAAGGGATGCGAATGGAAAAAGAAAAACAAGGTTAAGACAGAGGCGGGGGGGCATAAGTTGTCATAAAACGAATAATTTCGAATACAAATGAAGAACGTGATCATCGATGCTGCTAAATAGCATTTTGTCGTAAGTGTATGCACTTTGGCAGTCGAGAGAAAAAAAGTATTATTAAGTATAGGTTTACGGGCTAGAAAATGCAAGTGATCCCAGACAGGATGTATGTGTGAGTGCAAGCAAATACGAGTTTGGGATGAAAAAATACATTGCGCGCATTCACACGCACGCACGCACAAAACTGCACTTGAAAACAGATTCCGGACGTTCGGGCCTTATATTTACCGGGTCTGCCACTGTCAGAAGGCAGCACTAAGACAAGTGATGATGAAACCCTTCGGTCAAACATGCAATAAATAGTTCATCAACGTCATCATCGATTATTGGCTGCCACATATTTACCGCAAGAACTGTACGGTTGATTATCGTAAGAAGCGTAAAAGTACAAATTGTCATTACACTACTGTGCCCCTGTAAGTAGGCAAACACATGTTTACAGTTTTGAATTAGTCCTGTACATAAACGACTGACACAGCGGAACGCGGGGAAGTTGGGCCGGTGGACGGCGGGGAGGAGTGTGCTTGAAGTAGAAAGTGGAAGCTGATTTACATGGGGATTATGAGTGTAGAACCGTTCTAGCCGATTGATTACTAAAATTATAGTAATGGCAATAAGAGTGACGATAGTAGTAGCAACAATGATGGTGGTAATGGCAGTGATGGTAACGGTCATGACGAAAATTCGGCTGTGCTCAAAGGCGTTTGCGTACACAATTACAATAAAATGCACCATGATGAAAAGTCCCGAGCGTCACAGGCAATGCACATTGGAGGGGGAGTAGGCAGGTTGAATTCCACTGTGCAAACTCTTGAGCAACGAACAGAGGTCAAGAGTACTGCCGCAGACACAATCATATTGATTCAGTGGAAATAAAACTGAACAGCAAATAAGTGAATGAATGAATAAAAGAATAGGGACAAAAGTGACCTAGATGTATATGAACAATGGGATGGAATGGCTTATTTTTTGATGTAACAGATCAGATGAGGTGAAACGATGTCAACACCTGTGTCCGACTGTAGGTGGACCAATTCAGTTAGGGTTATCCATCGATCTGATTGCAGACATGTGTGTGATGATAACAGACATAGTCCGATCATGTACAAGGAAAGCTCTCAACAAATCGCACGTAAGACTCATCAAGGAACACTTCCAATCGATCGATCTGAGCGAAAAGAGCACGAATCGATTCGGCACATGTGTAGTCTTCATCCAGTTCAGTTGGTATAAGTGGCATGTCTGATTTCAATGTTGTTCCGGTCGTATTGCACGAGCTAATTGAGCTACTGTCACAGAAAGTACTACTACTATTGTCGCTGCTTGCTTTCATTCCATCCCCGTTCAATCCATCGATTGATGCTGACCTGCTGCAGTTTGAGATCAGCTCTTCCATGGATGCGTTTATTGAGTCCGGGTCCGCCTTCACACAATTCCATCCAGGTTTAACGTCCAGCGTCTCAGACTTCATTGGAGTTAGACCTGGGTCAAGTTTTATTCGTTTGCCGGCAGATTCTGAAATCTCCTGAACATCATCTGATAATCTAGAGTTCTGTTGTCGTTGTTCATGAGTATCAACCAATGCTGGATCAGATTGGATGTTGGACGTCATGGACTGTAAATCAGACTTTGGTACAGAACCAGGCTCGGTTAGAAAGGATTTGGTATCCGAATCAGGGGAATCAGAAAGACTGAGAGCACGTTTAACAGAATGGTTTGTTGAGGATATCTGTAGTTCGTTAGACCGCGGATGTTCAGCTGGGTTGGATGAAGACACTGAGGAATCCGGATGTTCTGTGGACTGTTGACTGGCGAATGGAAGGTGGCCTCTGGATTCATCGGTAGCTGTCGAGGGAGTGGGTGGATTTTCTGGTTCCCCGCTAGGATTAGTTTGGTCGTCGGATAGTAGAAAATCGAGTCCCATGTTCAGAGATGAGGGAAGCTTTTTTTCTGAGGACAAATCATCAGCACCATCATTTGA